ACATACATGCAGACATGCAGCTCGCCCAGATCAGAGCCTTTCTGGACCAACTCATGGCTGGGCCCAATGCCACATGCCCCGTCAGGGAATTTTTTGAGGAGAGGGATCCCGACCTAGCTGGAGCTTTCTCCGACCCTCCCTGCCTGGCTGTGGACGTTGCCCCTTGTCTGCCGGGGATGTTGCCCCGCCTCCCTGCTCGGCTGAGGATGTCGCCCCATTTTCCTACTCTGCTGGGAATGTCACCCCACCTCCCTGCCCGGCTGAGGATGTCACTTCGCCCGTCTGCTCGGCTGAGGACGTTGCTCCGCCCGTCTGCTCAGCTGAGGATGCCACTCTGCCTCCTTGCTTTCCCGTCATTGTTGCTCCCCCCCTGGCCTCGCCTTGGTCGTCGCTCCCCCCTCTGGCCTCACCGTGGTCATCGCTCCCCCCCCCGGTCTCGCTGTGGGTGTCGCTCTATCTAGGGGTCCAGGCCATCCTAAGTTTGGGCATGTCAGGATCCGTGCCTTGGGGGGCACTATGTCGCGTCCACCATGGACAATTCACCCCCAGATAACCAGAGGGTACCCTCACTCACATTTTTTTGAAATTATTCTTTATTGTCTGCGCCACTTCCTTCCTTGTTTGTGCACACCTCTTATGTGTTTTCCACTTAGTCACCCTATTTAAGTTCTGTGTTTTCCCTTTTTAGTTGTGGAGCATTGTGTGTGTATAGGTTGTACTGTTGCTGTTATGTGTTTGTTGCTACTTGCACTGTGAACAGCTTTTGTTTTCATGTTCAGTTTTCATGCCTTTCCTTGCCTTGCCTTGTTCGAGTCTAGTCTTGCTCTAGTTTTTTGAGTTTTGGGTTCCTTTTCTCATTGTTTGTTATTTGCAGTTGTTTATAATAAAGATGCCTGCAATTGCATCCTACTCCCTGGGAATTCCTGAGAGAATGAATGTCGAAGCACTTTTTTTTTCAGGCTAAGCACTTTTGCATGTCCTGGTTGTGAATGAGATTCTTCCGGAAAAAAAAAAAAGCATTTTGTTTTTGCTTTGCTCTGAAGCTTTTGTTTGCCTGACCCTGAGAGTGGCAGCAATAATTGTCATTATGCTGCTGATGATTTGCAGCTGTTTATTTCTCCTGCTGTGCTATGTACTGACACACAGGTGTGCTGTGAAGGGAAGCGGCAAATGCAAAACACAAGACTTTTAAGGTGCTGTGCGTGAGACGCCTCTGTGGGCTGTTCTCATGCCTCGGACAGCTGCGGCTGACTGTGTGTGTGTGTGTGTGTGTGTGTGTGTGTGTGTGTGAGAAAGAGAGAGAGAATGCGAGAGTGTGTGAGGTGGAATGCAGCACATTTGGAAGCCCCTGCTGAGAAGATTCAGTGAAGTGTTTTCTTACTGATTTACCCACTGAAAGGCACGTGTGAGCCTTGAACCTGTCGCCACACAGAGCTGCTACAGCATGCCGTTCTCAAGATTAATATGGAATATGAAATATGAACTTGGCGCTGACACAGACTGGTGCTGACATGGCAGAGGAAACATACCAAGCTGCTTGTATGAGGTTTTCATCAAAGCTTTCATCACATATTTATGCTCCATATAATTGGCATAATGCATAAAATAGAATTAAAAGGGCATGTGACTATAAAAACATCTGAAGACATGGCATAAAAATCAATGATCTTTACAAACCCATTGATTTCAGTGAGATGACCATTAACCCGCGCTTGGGGCCTATGGAGGAGTTATCATAGCTGACAACTGTCAGTGATTAGTGTCAAACCTCTCTTTCAACACTAATGAGAGTAACTGCTGCTGTCTCCTTGTTTATTCGTTTAATTTATTCACTGGCCAGACACTTTTTCATTATTAGCAAGCAAAGAGCTGATGTCTTAATGAGCTGCTGGCTTGTAGTGTGATGAAACTTTGGAAGAGAATCACTCAGCGGATACTAATGAATTAAATTCCGCATTGCACTGCTTAATAGAAAAACAATATTTCTCGATAGCAGCACATGTTCATCTCTCTATATTTTTAACAGAAATTTAACAGCCTCTCCAAAATCTAGACACTGCATAAATGCCAGTCCTGTCCAAAGAATTCCCTTGTCATATGACTCACCTTAACAAAATCCAGCTCATTGTCTTCATCAGAAAATAAATCCAAGGAGTGGCGCTCCATCAGTGTCCTAGACCTGTCACACCTGAAATGGTGACAAAACATTCGTTCTACTGCACTTACACATAGCATTAAGATAAAAGGCACATAATAAAGCATAAACAACAATCTGTGTAAAACTGTTTTACTTTTTCAGTGTAACCAAAAGAGTGCATTTGTTTTTTGTTTTTTTTCCCTGAGCATATATCAGGATTGCAGATTTACCTTTTCAGCTGCCGTTGTTCATAATCCACATTTTTGTACGTTTAATATGATTCACGCAGTCACATTTGAGTTAAGCTCGCTGGGGGGCACACAGCGGAGGTGCTGCTATGTGTGGTATGTTTATTAATGAGGGAATTGCTGAGAAGACGAATGTGCACGTCATTTCTACAGCAGGCTTGTACATCTATTCCAGGGCACAGATGACATCACTGATGCACATAACGGCTGCCGTGGCAAAGTACAGTAACACTGATATACAAGAACTGCGTGGATCAGCCGTTTCCTTTTTTATGCAAACTTTTACATCATATGCTATATTTAGCATTCAGGGAAAATGGAAATGGAAATAGATGACAGTAGGAATTAGTTAACATGCAAATAAGTAAACTATTATTTACTCGATTACTACATCATAAACATTTTGGAATGAAGTAGTCTTTTACAATATCCTACATCCTTTTTTATATTGTGACTATGCGGAATGGTGATATTACAATAATTAAAGTAAGATACAGGTCTGTCACATTCATGGCTAATGGCTTGGCATGTACAGTGTCAGTAATTAAACATGGACAATCTTTGGATCTGTGCTTTACCATATATGGTAGTTTTTTTTAATAGTAAAAACTACTATGAGATGAAAGTGAAGGCAGAAAGTTCTTCAAGGTGTCATGTTGCAGGGTAAAAATGCAGCTGGTAGAAATTTTGACACTAATGCACCATGTTTAACTGATGTTTTTTCTACACACCTTACATTTTCTAGACAATTTGCATTACTGTGATAGAGCTTAATCTTAGGCACATCACTATGTGCATTTTTACAAACTAACATGGCCTTAGTATTCTTGAGGCGTTTAGGATATCGTGGTAATCCCTCTGAGGTCTTCCTGTTAAATGTATTCCTTTAAGCTGGATTGTCTTGATCAGTTCAGCTATTAATTGATGGTCTACTGAGGTCTGTGAGGTTGTTTGCTATTTTTAATCTCACCAGTGCATCACTGCTTCTAAGTAATGCACCAAACAGTAGCTTTAGCTTTAGTAGTTTTAACACATTTAATGGTTTGGCACTGTTTATTCGGCTAATATTCAGCTGTATTTTCAGTCTATCACTATCAGGGCAATGGTTAAGGTTTAGTACTAATGGCTGGAAGGTTGAATGTTCCTTGAACTGCTTCACTTGTTTAAAAGCATCAACCAAATGAACAAAATGTACTTTTATGATAATCCTACTTTAATGGATTTGATTTCTTTGGCTAATAATCTTCACAACAGCAACAGACTCCACATGCATAAGTGACATTTGGATATCAACTGTACACCTTTTGCCAGCTCTCTTATGTATGAACTAATGATACAGTGAGCAGCCATTATGATCCATTACTATTACATATATGGTGTATATATGTATATATAAACAATACGTATATAATTTAATGAAGGCATTCTGTGCATAAACACAGTAACCACTGTTTTGCTTCAGATTGGCTGGAGACAAAATAATTACATCACAGTGCAGTTACAAAAGGACTGCATTGTATTACACCCTTATTCTACTTTCAGGTTTACTTTGTGCATGCAGTGTTAATGCACAACTAAACTGCTAAACTGAATGGATTGATTTTACGTGATATTATATTTTAAGCATTGCTTACCTTAGCAGCTCAAAGATCGTAAAAATGCCCCTTCAGTGATGCAAGCTGTAAGCAGTGATGTTTTTCCTCTTGGGAATTACCAAGGTCTGTACTGTGGCTCACACACACACTGAAAACACCAGGCACTTATGGTGATGTCCTTGCTTCTGTGAGTCAGATTCTCTCCCACCCACCAATTCTTTGAGGCAGCACTTTTTTAGCCTTGACACAAGCTGTGTGAAGTTGAACTTGCTGATCCTCATTTATCATCAGTGCTGTCAAAGGCAAGTGTGGCTAGGTGTGGTGATTAATAACTTCCTTTTAATCGGCTCTAGTTTTCATTGTTGTTTTAAATGATTATTGAGCCTAAAACCTAGCTAACATAGAAATAGTATATCTGTATATATGTAAAAAGATGATTTACCTCAAAATATCCTTGTTTTTCAGTGTTATTTTAAGGGAACTTATCCCATTTGTCAGAATTATGATGCATCTTTCCTTCCCGTGAAAAGTCTATAAGGCCGGATACTATTATATTAATATGAAGATAATTATATAGTTGTCTGCTGGGTTACAGTTTCTACTTTTGTTCCCATCGAGAATTCTGAGTTTATGTATAGATTTCTAAAAAGAGTGTTTCTCCCAGCTGCTAAGGGGTAACCATATCTCGCTTTCAGCTGGTTCCCCCACAGTCCCGGTTCCACCCAAGAAACACATTAGAGGAATGAAGACCATGTCCTGTGTGCTGTGTTTCTCAAGCACCACTTGTGGTGAATCATTAAAAAGTCTGATTTGGACATGACTCTAATCATCACTGTTGCTATTTGAGTCTTTGATTTAAAGAAACTGAGCAGAGTCTATGGGAGTCAGTGGGAGTCTATATGTAATATATAGATGACATTATATAGAGCTGTATTATATATATATATATATATATATGATCTGTGGCTAAATACATGCATAATACATGATTTCGTACCACAAAATTCATACCTGGCCCATCCAATGGTGGTGTAGCGGTTAGCATGTTCACCTTATATCGCTGAGGTTGGGGGTTCAAATCCCACCTCTACTGTGTGCATATGGAGCCTTCCTCCTCTGGGAACTCTGGTTTCCTCCCTCAGTCCAAAGATGTTGTAGGCTATTTCCAAATTGTCTAGCAGCAGTGCAATGCCTAAAATCGTGTATGGGCCAGCAGCATTGTGTCATGTTCGCATCAGAATGTGGAAAAATTTGTTCTTGGTCATTTTGACCATGCCAGACAGGCTAGTTTGAGTATTTCTATAACTGCTGATCTCCTGGGATTTTCACACACAGCAGTCTCTAGAGTTTACTCAGAATGGTGCAATAAAGAAAAAACATCCAGTGAGTCACAGTTCTGCAGAAGGAAATGCCTCGTTGTTGAGAGAGGTCAACGGAGGACGGCCAAACTGGTTTGAGCTGACAGTAACTCAGATAACCACTCTGTACAATTGTGGTGAGCAGAAAAGCATCTCAGAATGCACAACACATCAAACCTTGAGGCGGATGAGCTACAACAGCAGAAGACCATGTCGGGTTCCACTTCTGTCAGCCAAGAACAGAAAGCTCAGGCTGCAGTGGGTGCAGGCTCACCAAAACTGGACAGCTGAAGAGATTCATCAGCCTGGTCTGATGAATCTGGATTTCTGTTGAGGCACACAGATGGTAGGGTCAGAATTTGGCACCAACAGCAGACCCAACCTGCCTTGTGTCAACAGTCCAGGCTGGTGGAGGTAGTGTAACGGTGTGGAGAATGTTTTTGGCACACTTTGGGCCCGTTAATACCAATCAATCATCACTTGAAGGCTACATCCTATCTGAGTATTGTTACTGACCATGTGCATCCCTTCATGGCCAATTTACCCCTCTTCTAATGGCTACTTCCAGCATAATAATGCACCATGTCAATAAAGCAAAAGTCGTCTCAAACTGGTTTCATGAACATGACAATGAGTTCAGTGTTCTTCAGTGGCCTTCCCAGCCACCGGATCTGAATCCAATAGAACACCTTTGGGATGTGGTAGAACGAGAGATTCACAGCATGAAAGTCCATCTGACAAATCTGCAGGAATTGCATGATGTAATCATCTCAGTATGGACCAGAATCTCAAAGGAATGTTTTCAACATCTTGTGGAATCCATGCCATGAAGAATTGAGACTGTATTGAGAGCAAAGGGAGGCCCTATAGCCAGCATTAGTGTAGTGTTCCTAATAAAGTGCTCAGTAAGTGTATAAGTACCTTTAAGGCAAGACATGCCAATCATTTTTCACATTTTTGGATAAAATGCATCTACGACATGTCTTCTCTTCTCAAAACTGTTAAATTTACTGTTTTTATCCAACACATTATCTGAAAGTTAGCAACTTTGGAGAAGGCTTTAAGCTCTGTCCATTTGCCACAATCACATCATGTCATATCCCCCTGTCATTGTGACTTTCATGCCATTTTCCTTCACAAGCTGTATAAACCACACTTACTAGTGTGGAAATCATATGTATTTTAAAACTCAAAACCTTTCTCAAAATCAGATTTTTCTTTGTTCAGAACCAAAAATCTCATTTTGTAGATGAGCTGCATTCAAAAATTTTATATATGCATTCGAACTGTTTAAAAGCTTATTACAGAGACATTTCTCAAAATGTTGTTGGATTTCTGACAGATTTTATACTGAAAATGGCATAAAACAGTTATTTCTTCTTAAAAAAAAAAGTTATGATTTTCCAGTAAACTGTTTTGTAAGTCTTTCTCTTGAGAGTGATTTCATAGTGAAATAAACATTTGTGATTCAACATCATCCAAAGACTTTTTGGTTTTATAAAGTATGCAAATGTATGCATATTTAATTACAAGAAGCCTCATTTGCATGAATAGATGCAAATTTCTTTCAAAAATTTTCAATATATATATATATAAAAAAAATCTCAGCAATTCAGTGGCAAAGATGAATTGTGATATCTAGTATTTTTTGCAGTGTTGCCTTAAATTCAGTTTTCTTGAAGCTGTGTATTCCTGTGCAGATTTTATATTTTCCATCCATTCTCTGTACTGCTTAACCTATAGCCTTATCCCTTGGAGCTCAGGGCACACCCTGGATTTGGGTACCAACCCATCACAGCACACAAACACACACTACTGATAATTTGGAAATGCCAGTCAGCCTACAACACATGTCTTTGGACTGGGGAGGAAACTGGAGGGCCTCGAGGAAGCCCCTGAGGCACAGGGAGAGCACACAAGGCACCGTGCATGCAGGGCAGAGGTGGGATTCGAACCCCACTCCTCAAGGTGAGGGGCGACCGTGCTAACCACTACGCCATCGCAGCCCCCACCTTGAAGTCATAATTTACTATTTGTTTTGTGTGTAGTGTAAATCATCACGCAGCCTCAACCTCTTATTCCAGCTAGAGAAAATATATTTAAAAAAAAAAAAGAGAGAGAGAGAGAGAGAGAGAGAGAGATCTGCACATTATCATGAATCGACATATTCAGGCTCTGGCTTTTTTAATGTGTACTGACAAACAGGTTTAGCGGATTTTTGCCTCGTATAGCCCGCCGTTACGACAGCAGCTGCGCCCCACTTTGGCTCCAATCAGAGCCTCAGCGCTGAAGCAGCTCGGCGTAAACACGAGTCTTCCGCCCCGCCCTTCATCATCCCATCATCATCATCATCCGCGCACACACACACACACACACACACGCTGAGCAGTTCCGCCTTCTCCCCGCCGACTTTTCCGCATGTCACATTTACAGCACAAGCTCGCTAAATTACTGCGCAGCACCATGAAGCAGGACTCGTGATTTGACAAGGTAAGAGACAGGGCTTATTAAAGTCAGGAGCCATGCCGATCGCCTATCGTTTTCCTCTTCCAAGCTGCCTGGTGTAGTAAAGTTTCAGTTGGGATGGCGATCGGGTGTCATACAGCAGGCTGTGTGTAGAGTTTCCTGGGCATGTGTAGCTCCCGGTGTGAGGTGACAGCTTCACGGACAGTTCTTTAACTAGTCAGGCTTTCATTCTACCTCACACTCACACACACACTCACACACACACACACACACACACTAGCGAACTGAAATGACGATGTTATACGCTTTAACGCTGTTATTTTGGACAGAGGTGATACAGAATGACGCTGTTCCAGAGCAAAGGAAACTAAAATAAACAGATGTTGATGTTGTTGCTGTTAGACACTAACAGCTTAGAGTCCAGCCATGTGATGAGATGAGATGAGATGAGATGAGATGTAGGTGAAATGTGATGAGATGAGATGTATCTCTCCGCTTTGATCACTTTGATACATGACTGAAATGCCAGCAGCCTGATTTGCAGTGAGTTGGATTGGGCTTGATAAACTTTCAGCCTTGTCCTGATGGCACAGAGCCTTAACTTCAGGGCGTCATGCTAAGATGACAGGCCGAGATTACAAACACACTGCGAGACGACGCTGCTGTCAAACTGTAAAAACGCCACTCTGGCTTCAGCTCCATGCAACTAACCACTACTCTTACACAGTCTTCCTGGAAGTTTACAGGAAAGCTAAGCACTTGCTCACGCCCCTGCCTTTTCTCAAAACAGGCTGTTAGATGTGCAAAATAGGTCGACGGTTTGTAAAGTGTCATAGGCTACGTAAAAAACCCCAGCGTACTACTGTACTAAATAGTATGTTCAATAGTACGCTGCTTGTGGAGGCACCTGTGGTGTGTACTGTTTCAGCGCACTATTTCTGTGTACTATGTAGCACGCTAGTGTGTGCTGTTTGTGATCTTCCCGCTAAAGGCTCTGTGGGTTGAGCAGAAGCCATATCGCTTTCGCTTTGTACCAGGGGGCGGGGCTTAACGCTCCAGGCACCTGCGCGCATGGCAATTAAGCTCCCTGCCTGAGGCTAGTTTGTAAATTACATTAATTACAGTAGTTATAATTGTGCATAAAATTATAAATTATAAGTATTAAATTTACAACAACAATAAGAATAATTATATATGGTATTATTATTATTATTATTATTATTATTATTATTATTATTATTATCATCATCATCATCAAAATAAATAAATAAATAAATAAATAAATAAATTTCAATGCCAACTAGGTTTAAAAAAAATTTTTATTTATTATTTAAATTTTTTTTTTTTTTTTTTTTTTTTTTTTTTTTTTTTTTTTTTTTTTTTTTTTTACATTTTTTTAGCCGCTCCACTATCAGGTCTATCTAACATAAGCCCTATTCAGCATGGATTATTTTACCAGGGGGAAATCTGTAATAGATTTTTTACACGCCTCTTCAGTGATATAAAAATAATAAATAAAATTACCCCAGGAGGTGCGAGTTTCTAGTAGGTTGTATTTTCTATGAACCCGGATGTTTGCATCACGTTGTGAGTTCCTCAAATATCTAATGTTAAATGCTGCTAAATTAAAACGTGTAAATGATTAACAGTTTTGAAACAATTAAATCATTTACAGTATTAATTCATCAGCATTTCACATTAGATATTTAAGGAACTGGCAGTGATACAGCTAATCATTATGTGAATATAAAGTAATGTTGTGTGTGTAGTTGAGGTTTTACCTCGCAGACCAAGCATATGGTTGAGCGACTCTTCTAAAGCATCCATTTTTTGTTTCACGATTAGGGAAGTGTTTAATATCTGGGGGAGCATTACTGATACATGTGCTATGAGACTAAATACAGCAAGTAGCAGCTGTAAAAAATCTTTTTTTTTTCAACACGAGGTGACATCTGCATAAAACTCACAGATGTGTATCCAGACGGGACTTAAAATTATCAGATGAATGCTGAGTTTGGCAAATAACAGTAGGTAATTTGGCCTGTAATTTTCTCAGAGGAGGACGGAGGAAAACATCGACATGGCGATCTGGATGGAAATATAATCATAGAGTAGCATATTAAAATAGGAAATTACCCCAGGACCCCATGTAAATTGAATCCCATCCAGATAGGGCTATAGATGCACTTTGTAGCTATACAGTTACTGACTGTAGCTCGTTTATTTTCTGACTTGTTGCACAATTTGTCAACCTCCTCTATCATCAGTGGA